TCTGTTGTTTATTACTGCAGAGCTCTGATTTATTCCCCTATGCTGATGTCATTTCAACAACTGAGATCTTCCTCCTCAATAAAGGCAGCAAGACACTTTTTTTGTTGTATCCGGATACACAAACACACACACACTCAAGCACAATGATCCATTGCAACACACCTAATACACACACAAAAAAAACGCAAAACCCTCATACATCAACACAGTCACTCTTTCTCTTTCTCTGGCTCGTGACAGGCCAGACTCATTTGCATCCTTAATTGTGTTGTAATGTACTTTTAATTTGAAAATGGAGGCAATTAATTATTTTGATATGGAACAAAATGCCGCAAATGTAAACATTCTAATAGTTCTCTGTGAACAGAGTATCATTTTTCAAAAGAGGGATTGAATGTTATCTCATTCTTTAATGCCATACAAGTTTTTTTGGGGGGGTGGGGTTTAAGATATCGTTTTACGACTCACGAATTCTCCTTGATATTCACTTTGTCTTTGCAGAGAGGGCAGCGTTTCTTTGATCTACTCCACCGCTGTTATTTTCTATCTCAATCTCCCACTGGATAATTACTGTAGTTGCACCTATGCTATCAGAAGAGATTAAATGAAATTAAGCCTGTTTGGACATCCTGCTTCTCCTCCGTACGTCATCCCTCCGGCGCAAGCCGCCAACACCAGGCTCACCACTTTTTATTTCTGGGTCACAGAGGCTTCAAGTGGAGATGTGAATCGCAGATTAATTTTTTTTTTTTCCTCCATCAACCATGTGATCAATAGGTGTCAGTGTTCAAAGGATAGCAAGCATCGCTAGAGGAGAGAGGAGGAGGGGGGTGGATCCATTTGTACGGGCTCTGGAAAAAACTGACACTTTCGCTCCCTCAACCTGATAAACTCGCCTCAGAAGAGGAACAGGATGGATGCTTGTTGTTGCTTTTTTTCCTCTTTCCACCCATTTCCAACCCCCCCCATTCCCTTTCTCTGCTCTCTCACACACACATTTTGTGTCCTCCTATACCGCTAAACCCCCACCCAACCACCACCCCTCACCCCTATCTCTTTCACTCTCTCCCTTCTGATTCTCCTGAGGGTGCTGGGAGCTCGCTGACATCACAGCCGGCCTGGCAACAGCCTATAAATTATGAGTGACAAGTCTTTGGACCAATAAAAGCACCACCATATTTCATGCACAGTAAATCTGATTGCAGATTGCTCTGGCGTGTGGCGGCTGACATGTTTATTGTCGTCATGGCGGTGGGAGCTGAGGGTGAAGGGGGGCTGGTGGGGGTGTGGGGTGGGGGGGGGGGGGGGGGGTCGCTTCCCAACATCAGAGTTTCTAAAGCTCCCAGTCTATATGGAGGTAACACAGATGGGAACTCTGGGATGCAGGCGACCCCTTCCACCCCACCCGACAACCCCCTAAATCCCCGAACACACACACGCACACACAAACATACATTCACACACATCAATGCCAACGCAGCCAACATCTATAGGGCAACTATTTTTCCTTCGGCTTTTACAAAGCCATGCAACTGTTTCTTTCACTGCAACCATCTGTTCTCAATCCGCACATGCTCCCTGTGGCACTTTTAAGGAGGTTATACTCAATATCTCCACATGTAACTTTTGAGAGAAGAAGTTACACATTCTTCCTCCTACAAATGTAGTTTTAAATTAATGAGCATTAAAACGTTGCTGCTCACTAGAGGCTTTTGTTTCTGTAGTCTTCCTTAGTCTGGTTTAACCAGTAGCTTATGGAGGCTACTGTTAGCAAAGCATCGGTAGATGGTAAATGTGTTGCTGAATAAGATTAGCGAGTTAGTTTGCTCCCTTTTAGACTATTTTCAACTTAAAAAAAGAGAGGGGTGGGAAAACAGCATGTAGAGCCGGCATGTTAGGGATTCATTCCGACCAAAGCAGAGTTGCTGATTGTTGGAAAAGTGGAAAGACTAACCAAGACGTGTTTGGTGAGTGTGTTTTAGATTAATTAAAACACACCTAATTAAGACTGTATTAGTTTGGTGTAGGAGATAAACTTGAATTCAGAAGGTGTACAGTTGTATTTTTCGGTTAAGGTGTAAGAATATATTCTAGGTTGACATTTTGTAAAATGTTTATTATATTTATTGGTCAGACGTTGCTAAATTGTCACTCGCGTGCAATGCATCCTGGTACATGTAGGCACAGCAGGCAAGGCTCCGCAAAAGGAGAGATCAGCTTTCTCGGTTAACATAGCATGCAATGGGGGATTTATTTCTTCAATAAACTACATTTTCCATCAGCACTGATTGGACATCCACATAAAAGGTGGCACATTTTCCCTTGAAGTTTTGACATTCTGATGGCGTGATTCTGATATTATTGGACATGTTGGCTGTACACCTGTATTAGTCTTTTCATTAGTGTCCCACAGAAACATCTATTGTGTTGTAACTTTGTACTATTGTTCTCTGTAACTTGCAGCTTTTGTTTTGATGATTGTTTTGCTTAATTAAACATTTCAGTGCTGTTTTGCACTACACTTTAAAAGACATAATTACGAGCACCGTGGAATGTTTTTCCTCAGTTTTCTCATGATGGAATTTGAATTAGCTGTTGCCATCTTTTGTCTATCTATTTTGCAATGCTGCCTATCACTTCTAATGCTGACTATTATTCATTTTTTCCAAACAAATGTGAATTTTTTGTGTGCTGGAGGACTTTAGGAAGAGGCCTTTGTAAACTGGCTAAATCACTATTGAGGAACAGGCAACAACATGAAGAAATGTTTACAATCAAAATTTTCAATCATCTGATAAATCTCACCGCGAACTAGCAAACAACAGACGACACTCACGCAGCACACACCTACAGAATCCAATTTAAAACATCACTAACTTCCCACTATAACCAATAAGCATCGAGTGTTATCTTCAATTTTCTTAAACAAGGATCCTGTCGTTACAGATATCACATCTAATCTTTAATATTTTCTAACAACCTCATTGATGGTAAGTGATCCCATGCTCATTGCACTGTCTAGTCCATCCGTCCTTCCCCATGCAATAAACCATTCTTCATAATTAGCGTGGCCGCTGCAGTATGATCTGGGCATTACAAGTCCTCAGCCACAGCCCCTAAATGGACAGATTTCAACAGATGCCCGCTGGTGTGATCGGCATCATTATATTTTAATTAATCCATTCTTCTCACAGCAACACAGTAATTACAATCTATTTTACGACGCGGTGTGCTGCGAAAGAAGGGATGGAGGAGAGAAACAGGAAAGGCAGCGAGGGGGAGTAACAGGCAGAAAAGGGGTGAAAGAAGGGGAGAGGAAGGACGGGAAAAGAAACTACAAAGAGAGGTTCGAACAGTGAGTGAGGAAATGTTAAGGTGAGAGGGGTAGAGAGCAGAGGAAAAACATTACAAACGCTATGACTGATTACCGATATGTCATCGCCCACCTGACATTGTAAAAGCATTGTAAAAGCATTGTAAAAGCGTTTATACAATGTCTGGACGGGCACAGAGCTCCCTCCCTCCCTCCCAGCCTCCCAGATTCACGCTTCATACAGTCAGAGGGGGAGAAGCTCCATTTCCTCCAGCCTCTGTCTATATAAATCAGAGCAGGTACGGACACTCAGACGCGCTGTGGGTGTGATAATAACATTAGAGGATTACAATGACACTCCTCCCCGGACAAGATCACCTGTCTCAGCTGTCATAAAACAGCTGCTTTTTGTGGTTGAAACGCTTTATACGAGGAGAGTGTGTAGGTGTGTGAGTGTGTGTGCACGTGGCAAATACAGCAGTGAACAAGTGGAAGATGACTTGTAATAGGTAACACCTGAGTTTAACACATAAAACTGTTGCAGCTGACCTTATTCTAAATTCAATATATTATCTTTAACAAGCAGTTAAACAATTTTGTGTTACAGCGGCTCAAAAGTCAACCTTTCAGGCACTAGAGGAATAATATGCAACTTTTTTTTAAAATGTTATATATTATATTGAGTTGTGTGCTTACATTATCCCAAACGTTTCCAACAATTTTCAAACGCAGAGAAATCCTTAATTTTACAGACAGCTTCTTGCAGACACACACAGCGCTGACACATGCACAAAGGGAATGTGACGCCAATGACAGGTGACCAAATGAAGCTGACAGGAATAGACTTTTTGTGATACACTTTTTAGATGTATTATTATACTTTTTACATTTGAACCAGGTGAAGGATTTTAGTCATCCGACGTCTGGATCTTAAGTCATCAGAGAAACAAGCTGAGCAAACATTTGTGTCAGTAAGTCAGTGAGTGAAATCCGCTCACTGACTGGTAAGAGTTAGATAAAAACAATGTCTTTTTTTTGCTTAGCAAAAAAGCAGCTAGCCTGTCAAAATGTGGTTTTACACGGGGTTATGTGCCAGACGACTTCTTGGCAGGGATCAGTAACTTCCTAAAGTCTTTCCTGGTTACCTGGCAACCTCATGGTGCTCAGGAAGCAACTGCTCCTGGCCATGAAAAAGTCTGCCACATAACTACCTGTAAAAAGCACAGCTTGTCATTTTCACACTATATGGTTTCTGTATGGACATACGAGATATTACGAGTTTGAGAGATGCTGGTAGGTTGATTTCTTTTAACTTATGGATGAAGCCGGACCAGCTGTTTCCCTTTGAAGCTAAGCTAAGCAGCTGCTGGCTGTTGCCTTATATTCACTGTACAGACATAAGAGTGATGTCATTCTTCTCATCTAAAGTAACCCTCTGCAAGAAAGCAAATACGCACATTTACCAAAATGTTGAACAACTGAAGGAGACAACCAAAATGGATTGGCACATGTTGCTTAGATAGCCATGGCATCAAGTAATCAGGGGTTTCAGCCAAGCATGGTAACTCACAATGCTTTTAAAGGACAGAACTATTGTAAATTGATTGATCAACACACAGATCAGTTAACCCCAATGACGATACCACATGTGTGTGCTGTGAATGTTTGCATGGATGTGTCACAATACCTATGGTGAACATGGTATCCTGCCGCGTTGATGGTCCAGCCAGTCTCTTTGGGGTCGGGGATCTTTGCCGTCGCTGCGATCAGATGCTGAGCATCCCTCCACGTCAGCTCAGGACTGGGGCAAGAGACATGAAACAGAATATCATCAAACACACCTTTCCCTCGGCCTGTGTTCTACACCGACTGAAACCACAGAGGAAACACTTCAACTCTCAACAACTTCTGAAAAGAAACCTGCAGGGAGCCCAACATGGGATCCAGCCTTGTGTAGAAAGAGGCTGGAGGACTGCTTTATGGGGCTCACAGCACATTCTATCATGCTCATGGTGTATTAATGCTAAGGTTTATTGATACATAAACCGATGCAATGAGACACGGCCATACCTTTTACAGCAGGTCCTCTAGACATAAAAGCACCTGTTTAAGTCAAGCTCACTGTTTTAATAATGGTGTCACTAAAAACTGTGAATCCAACAAAGAAGATTTGAGACTTTTACAAAAGAGCCGAGAGAGTTGAATGCAGTAAAAAGTCTTCTTTTTAATCCCAGGCAGGGGAATTCTAATAGAGCGGACTCAAGTGTCATGTCAAGCAATATACTAATGGAATCCAATTAAGACCTTTAAACTGCGCCGAGAGCTGGAGGATATTAGCTCAGTTTTCTATAACAAAAGACCAAAGGGCCGTCAACGAGGGCTTTTTTGGGATATAAAAAGCATAAAGGAAATTGGGTTTTTTTCTGCTTTATCCACTCATTATTGTTCCCTAAGAAAATGAGTTGAATGGAGTATAAGGAAACCGCTTGGCCACCCATTCTGAATGGCATTTTCTTTTTCTGAGAAGAAATACCTTCACAGCTTGCGCAACACCTGTACACGGACAGTTGTTTCTCCAGTACAGAAGAACAGAACGGAGGTAACTAATTAAAGGTGAGCCACACAGTTAGACTTCATTTTTCCCCATCATTAAAAAACATAACTGTAATGCATCGCTCATGTCTATATAGCTACGTTGTGGTATATCTTCACCTTGCAAACAACTAAATCACAACTAGCCTCTTCATTATTGCGCTGTTGCATGTTAGACATCTCAGGAAATATCAGGCACGGATGTAAACAGATGTATTCCATTCACGTATTGGGGGAAAAAAAACGAGACAGAACAAAAGCGAGGAGAGAAGCTTTCATTAGCGGCATAAAACAAAACCCCGGCAAGCAGCGAGAGCAGGCAACTAAAACAACATGATAGGAATAATACCAGTAACACTAATAATAGATGGATAGAATGAAACAAAACACAACGCACAAACAATTATTTTGAGCTTTGATTTCAAAGGGATTGGAGAGCGTGCGTGTGTGTGCGTGTGTGTGTGTGTGTGTGTGTGCGTAGGGGGGGAATAGGCTTTGTACTTTTGAACTGTTGCTGCTCGCTGCATGCGTCTGTGTGTGTATGAGCGTGCGTTGTGTATTATATATTAGCAGTAGCAGCGTGATTCTGGTATGTGCACTCCCCCACCTCCATCATCAGCACCACCACCACCCTCACCCCTCTGGTGGAATCAGAGAAACCCCCGCGGCCCCGGCTGGTTTGCATAAAGCAAACAAAATTAAATTTGCTTTGCTAAATCAAAGCATGTATGGTATTCCAAGCAGCTCTCTCAGGGACAAATTACTTCAAACGGCCTCCTTTGTATCATAACAGAATAAAAAAAAAAAAAAAAAAAAAGAATCAGCCCAATCAGCGGCTCTCCAAAACCCTCGACTCGGGAATTAATTATTGAACCGAGGGCTTTTCTCTCTCCTAGCAGTCCGCGACACAGATCTATTTATTTTGGAAAAGTCGTTTTGCTCTTAAAAACACAGCGCTGGCTGAGAACCCAGTTTACTATCTCTCTCTCTCTCTCTCTCTCTCTCTCTCTCTCGCTCTCTCTCAGGCCCTGAAGGGACATGTGAATAGGCTTAGGCCACGAAATTAATCTGAAAACCCCACGACCGGCATCCACCATAGTGCTGGTTAAACAGAAGTATTGCTTATGCTGTAATGGACTTAAGATGAACTGTTATCTTGTGATGTTTCTTTCACATAGAGGTGGAATATTTCTCCTTTGCACCACCTCTTTGTATCAATGCTCGACCATGTTGTTTTCTCCTCCTGTTGGCTTCGGTTTGGCTGCAAGAGAGCACAAAACCACTACGTCTTTGATATGCAGCTCAAGTACAAGACTGTGAGCTAAAGCAAGGAGTCCTTCAAGACGATTTCCACAGTTAGTTGTTGTTTCTATTTACTGTAGTAATCCCACTAGTTATCTATGATATGCTACATGTGATTATAATTAGTATAAATCTTCTCCATTATTTGGAGAATACACATTCAAGAGTACCAAACTGTAGCTGGCAAACAGCTGTACTTTAGCTGGCGAGCTAGCATGCTAGTGCGAGCCAGCTGCATTAGCTTTCCAAGCTCCAAGCTTTGAGATCTAGCTGAGTCGCTAAACAAGCAATACTGCTAGCTTACAGAGTTTATTCAGGGTATGTATTTGTACCATAGAGTCATGTCTAACTGAGTTTTTTGTGGAGCAGCTACTCCGGTGGAGGAGGGTTGTATAAAAGTTTACGGTGCAAATGTATAGCTTTTGCTACGTTGGACTCTTCAGTTTGCGACGGTAGGAAAAGCAGGATTCAGCTGCTTCAGGTTCAGGATCCTGATGTGCATGCGGCCTCACGGTCACACTGTCATGGCTTACTTGAACACTGGATTAGAGCAGAGCCATCATTAATGTTATTACAAACCTGTGCTTTTACTAAGTCATAATGTCTGCTGTGAAAACAGCCTATTCCTGCATAGTTCAGTAATGTCAAGATGCTATTGGTCACCGTTGTGACTTCACAAGTCAAATTTTATCGAAAGAAAATCTCGGAACCCATGGGTTTGATGACGATATAGCCTCTGGGGGATAACAGATAATATTTGAGGAGTTTTGGTGTAGCCAGCGGATATCAGGATAATGGATATCCGGGCCAAGACATCCTCGTCCGTGCACCAGTCATTGTTCACAACTTGAGACGCTAGAATGGAGGTAAAGTTGAGAGACAATGTCTCATCTCATCTCTATAAGCAGATATCAGCATATGAATGCATAAAGAAAGCTAGTAAAAAGCATCGTCATTGACAGAGCAGCCAGTGGATTCTGAGACTGCATTTTGACCAATTCGTTCCACCTCTTTCGCTCTCCACACAGACTGTTTCATTCAACCAAAGCCCACCAAAATGTGATTGGTCAATATAACTCCAACTACAAACGGACAACAAAACAGAATGCTTCTGATAGCAAAATCTTGTCCATGTGTCCAACAGATTCTGCATTCATAAGCAGATATCTGTTTGTTGAGATAAACCGAAAGGGACCTCAACGTGAGAGATGCTAACAAATGCTAGCCTGATCAAGCCTTTAAGCTGAAATGTATCTTGAAGAAAAACACTGGACTGATTTCTTCCAGTGGCCGTCATGTGACTCACAATAAGCACGACCTAAAGTAATGCGACACTGACATAACATGAAAAACATTCAACTCATGCATGCCGGCAAATAACATCACAGCTAAACTTTGAACCTCTGAAGGATCGACAACAACAGAAGGAACAGAACTGACATCGCAACGCAATTAAAGCGCGACTGGGCCGCAGCTCACAGCAGATCGGGGCAGAGTGCAACGATGTATGAGCCTCCTCCAGAGCCTCACAGCCTTCATCCCCCTTGCCAAGGCTCACAAAGCAGCACAGCAGCCGTCACAGTGAGCACACAACTGTTTACAAATCCCCAGTTAATAGGATCAGGCCTCATTGACTGGGTCGCTCCGATGTGTCTGATGTAATCTATTAGCTGTATGATAGTCAGTGTCTCAGTCCAATCGATAACCCTGGGCCTCCATATTGCTCCACTGTGGACTGTTACTCCTCTTTAGTGCTGCTTAGAATGCGGGCTTAGTGACTATAAAGTGTGTTTGTGTGTGTGTGTGTGTGCACGCAGAGGTTTGTGTCCATCCACTTGTCCTTGTGTGTCAGATCGTGCACTTCTGTGACTTTTAATGTGTGTGTGTGTGTGTGTGTGTGTTTGTGTTTGTACATGTATGAAGTAGATGTGCCTTCCTGGATAGGAAACATGTTTATTCTAAATTCTGTATTATTATGTACTGAAGTGTGTACGTGTGGAATGTTAAACTATAACACATACTGTACATACAGTAGCTGATACTAAGGCAGATGTTAATTCAATAACACCTTAATGCATAAATGCATGCGGGGATTGCATGTGTCTGTTGTATAATTGTGTTGACATTTGTAATATCCACGCACCTATACACGGGTGTATTACTGTACAATGGAGCATATGTGTGTATTAATGCGGCTTTACAGTAGATGGCATGTCTGCACGTGCATGTACGTGCATGTGTGTGTGGGTGTGTGTGTCGGAGTGTGTCTGTAGCTGGTGTAACTGGCTTTCCAATTAAGTTGAACCACAGGCCGGATCAATGCTAGTCCTCTGTGTGCAGGAATGAGCAGCCCTGGGCCCTCAGAGCATGCCCACGAATAATTTATCACTCACACTAAGCCCGGGCAGAGAGGAGGAGGAGGAAGAGACGGGGAGCGCAAGGACAAAGTGTCCAGCCCAGGGGAGGGAACGCGAAAGATGGGCAATCGAGGGGACAGAAAGATGGAGGGGTGAAGAAAGAGAGAGACGGATCGGGACTCAGAGGAAAACACTGTCAGCTCCAGATCATTTAGGAGCATCACACTCAACATTTTTTTCTGGTAAACAATCATCGAAAATGAAATTCTGCAGGGAGCACAAGCCACATACTTCTTTCAAATATATTACACTGGATGTTTATTTCATTATTCATCAATACCTTTTCAAATTGATTATAATGGGACTTTTGGATAAAATATCAACAACTTTCTTCTTACAATGTTTACTGTAAGAATCAGAATTTCACTAGAACATTATAAAGACATACTGTAGAAGGAACCGATGAACATAGGGATCCCTCCATTGGATCCAATAAGTCCTCAAAATTAAACAAAAAAAAAAAACGTAACTGCCATAGAAGCGTTTTCTG